CCGATTCGGAGTGGGACTATTTATCGTGCTGTAAAAAAAATTAGAAAGACTTTTTGAAGAAACCAATTAGATATAAGTCATCAGTAAGGATCAGTGTTCAAAATATTACAGTACAGGCGAAATCGATTTTTCAGTCCGAAATCGAGTGGTTGGTTTTTACGGAGACAGCCTCTTAAGTATGGACTATATAGGTTTTGTTTATACGTGATTTTGAAATAAATCTAAATATAATAAAAAAATATTTACTGACGGAACAAAACAATGCCTTGATGGATACCGACTGAACTGAAACGAAAGAGTGCTATTTAGTCAAACTTAGCTGACGTCAGTCTTTAAAAACTGAAATTCGTCGCTTAGCATATTTTTTAAGGAATACACCTTTTCAGTTGCTCTTAGGCATCGGCAGCGTGTTAAATATTATTTTAAACTTGTAGGAATATGAGCAATGCAAACATTGATATGAATAGTTTCATTTGTCAAATTCAAAAGAATAATTAACTTGCTATCGAGGTTTAAGTGCAACTGAAAAGGTATATTAAATAAAGTAACGTATGATCAATTTAGATAATTAGAATTCTAAACTTTTCGTCGTCTTCAAGTTTTACAAATAGCATTCAAAAACATACTATTATTAGTCACTGTCTGAATCAGACAGTGAAAACCCCTGGCTAGCAGCACTTTTTTTTAAGAATTGCATGTGCATTTTCGCTGTGGCCATCCCAACATTTAGGAGCGACTCTGCCCGCATATGAAAGTTCTTCGTCGGATCTTTCCCCTTCTTTGATGACTTCTTTGCATTTTTGGAAGGTGGTGATTCAGGATTAGTTTGGGTTGATTGCACTTCACTGGCGTCAGATGTGTGTCTTTCGTCCTCTGATAAGGTGGCCGCGGCGGGTTCATTATCCAAGCCCGAATGATCCAATTGATTCAAGGGGTCACACTTGTCTGCCTCCTTCTTTTCTCGTACTGCTTTAATCACGTCTTCGACAGTACTGGCCACTCCCTCTAATACATGACGCTCCTCCCTGTTCGAAACCTCAGGAGAACTTTCTATCTTTCTACCAATGCTGCCCATTCGGTTTCTGATCGACTTTGTCAGTTCTTTATTGTCTATGTTTTTATAGGCTAACTCATACTTCTCAGCCACATGCTTCGATAGAATTTCCTTGTGCTTTTCTATGTATTCCAGAATCTTTTTCCAATCATTTCCGCTTTGCTCTACCGTTTTTYGATAAATGGTCATTTCAATGTCAGTAATTGCATTACGCGACTGTTTGGTGCTACGTTTCGACTTTCCAGCTGGCTGCTTTCCCTTGCCGCCTGAATGGAAAGAAAACAACAACGCGTTACTAATTTTTAAGAATATATCACCACGATATTTAAAAACTCTCACTAAGCATAAAAATATCTTTACGCTTATATATCATATACATTATACATCATCCCTTGCAATTCTCTTGACATTATAAATTAATACAAAAACACGTCGGACCTAGATATGAGAAATTACAAGCAAATGAAGGACGAGGGAATGTAAATTTTGTGCATGACACATAGAATGCACGTGAGTTTTGCTTAATTTTTGTATGTTGAAATGTTTCCTCATTCAGTAGAAATTAGCTTCAAAATACAGGTTTACATTTATAATAACACATATTTTGATTTGACTACGTGTTTTTATTTCCGAATGCTAGAGAGACAATGAAAATTTCAATTTTTAATTTACATTTAAAGTTTTATAAAAAGTCAACTCGAGAAGTGAACATTAGCATACTTGTAYGTCTTGCACAGACGTTAACATACCTCCAAAATATTTCTGGAACATTTCCGCCCCTGTTAGGTCGTCGTCTTCATCAGAATCCATCATAAAGAGACTGTATCTATGTATAAGCGAGCGCCCTCAAGTTTACACAAGTTCAAAATTCGCGGCTTCAAGTTATTCTGAGCGAATTCTGAGCGAATACAGGCTAATTAAGTCAAATACTGCAAGTGCTACGTTCCTAATTATCATTAAAACACAGACCCTTTGTTTTTCACTTCTGTGAACAGAGGATACAGAAAAACTCTAATAAGTATAAAATATCATTTGTAAGAGAAAATTGAAGTTAAAGTCATATGCAAATCAGGACAAATCTCTTGCTCATATAAAGATGCGGTCACGGCAATGATTTTCCATTGTGTTTACCTTATGAATTATTAATGAATTTGATAAACATGCATCAAAATCATCAATGGTATGCATTTGTATAAGTAATATGTTATTTGATATACTATATGTAGGTGTTTGGTTATAAGCCTAATAAAGATTAAACCCWTAACTTTGTTTGAAATCTTATCATTCAGGCAAGCATCACGTCGATCAAGATCACCAACATCAAGGTATTTAAAGCAGTCATAAGCAATTTAATATACTGGGTATTTGGTCAGGCTAATAGAGAGAAAAATTTCCCTAATGACCATTAAGTTTTAACAGTACAAACCCTTAACTTTGCTTGAAATCTTATAATTTTAGGCAAGCTTCAAATCGATCAAGATCGCCAGCAGTAAAATCAAGGTATTTAAGCAGTCATAAGCAATTTAATATACTGATTAATTAAGAAAGATATTTGCACATTGACAACACCCTACCTGGCCAATCAGCACACAAGTGTGGTAAAATGAAATGTTAGTTGTACAAAACCTTAACTTTGTATAAAATCTTGCAATTTAGGYGTGTAGCAACACAGTCCAGATCACCAGCACCACCAAAAACACCAACCAGATCATCATCAAGGTAAAATACTGTGTACATGTATAATATAAATGTGAGTGGGAGGSCTTGACGGGCATTTCAAACTGCAATTTTAAAGCCCATAAAGGTTGTACACAAAATTATTTTATATATTTGATTAATAAATTTCAACAAAAGCTAAATAAATCCCTGGTTCATATAAAGATGTATTCACAGTAATCATTTTCAATTTTGTTTACCTTATGTTCTCATAGATATATACTCTGGATGTTGACTTTATTTGTCAAGAGGATTCTGACATTTCTTMGTTAATACTTAATGTATTATTCAATATTGTCTTCTAGATATGATCAGACAACACCTCCAAGGGTCCAGCATATGGCAAGGTGAGTTTTATAACCTCAAATGTAGACTTTAAGAAGTGATATTTGTTTACACGTTGTATATTTTTTCTCATATCATGAGTTACTGCATTTTAGGAGAAGGGTGGCGATTGACCCTACTGATTGACCTACTGCTGCAGTGTAAGTTTAGGAAGCTTTATTTTGATCATTATTGGGAATGCATGATCTAGTATATAGTGTAATGTGGCTAAGTGTATTGGGAATGCATTCACTGTTTATGTATATTTAATTTAGTACTTTCCTT